GAACAGAGTGTTGGTTGCCAGTGGGGCGGTGGTGGAGGGGGGTGAGCGGGGTACTAAAATAAGTGAAGGGATTAAAAAGTACAAACTTCCAGGTATAAAAATAAGTCATAGGCATGTAATGTACACCACGAGAAACATAGTCAATAATGTATCAGTTTTGTATGGTGACAGATAGTGACTAGACTTGTTATGGCAGCCATTTAACAATATACACAAATGTCAAATCACTATGTTGTACACCTGATACTTATTATAATATACTGTGGCAATTATATCTCAACAAATTTTTTAAAAAGGAGAAATAAATCCCCTGAAAATCAGTCAATCACAACGGTCCTCTTCATCTTTCTCAGCCTTTGTAATTCCTATGTCAGTAACAGTATTTTTTTAAATGTGTATTTATTTATTTTGAGAGAGAGATGGAGAGACAAAATACCAGACAGGCTCCATGCCTTGATGCAAGGTTCAGTCTCAGAACCCCAAGATCATGACCTAACCCAAAATTAAAAGTCAGATACTGAACTGACTGAGCCACCCAGGCACCCTTGGATTTCTTTTAAAGAAGATCTAAGTTGGCAAGGGGGCTGGATGGCTCAGGCAGTTAAGCCATCCCACTCTTGATCTCAGCTCAGGTCTTGATCTCAGAGTCATGAGTTCAAGCTCAGCATTGGGCTCTGCCCTGGTGGTGGAGCCTACTTAAAACAAAGAAACAAATCTAAGTTAATGTTCTAAAAATTCCTTCAAATCGGTATTTTAGAAGACATAAAGTTGTGGGAATTAGTTTATGTCCAAAGAAATGAGCCCCAAAAGGAGCAAAAACACAAAGAAATGAGAGTTTAATCCAATAAGGAGGTAAGTATATGCAGAGAAGTCCCTAAGTAAGTACCAGCATGTGTGAGCCTACTTACATGATGAAGCAGAACAACTCACCAACCACAGATTTATATCTTGAATCTATACCTGAGAAATAATGCTTTAACTAGGATATCCTCAACATTGAAAAGACAGAAAATAGATCCCGTGTGTACCCTGAAACCAAAGAATATCATCACTTAAAAAAAAAAAAAAAAAAAAACTTCCAACAGCGATGTGTTTAGTAAGATGAATATCTATACTTTAAGGCATCATAAGATATCAGTGATGCAAATTTGTTTTGGAACATCACATATTATGTATTTTGTGTATGGCCACCCATGCCCTATTCCATCACAGAAATCAACAGCAAATATTGAGACAAAGATTGCTGAAATTCAGAATATGATTTTCAAGTTCAAGAACTAAATATTTGGTTTGTGGGGATTGCCACTCAAATTCAACATTGTTTAGGAAGCGATGAATGTTCATTCTTCCAAACACATCACAAAATGATGAGTGTTTTAAAGAATTTTGAAAAAGTCAAGGGCTGAGTGTAGTGCAAATGGTCGATGAGTGATGGTCAAGAAGACACACATTCAAGTCTTCTCACCTCTTTGAAACAGATTATTTAGAGTTCGTGAGTTTACATTTTTTAATCTGAAAAACAGGGACAATATCCGTCCTACAAAGAGCACAGGATTCTTGTGACATAATAGCCATAAAATTCTTCTGGGAGTGGGGAGGAGAGCCCTTAAAATGTTTTACATTATTAAGGATGTAAGTAGCATCTGGCACAATGCACTACATAGCACAGGTGATCAGTGGAACGCTTCTCATCCTTTTGCATTTATTATTGCATTTCTATGAAGCAGTTAAGTAGAAAATATTGTAGGAAAATTTATGTTAAATCTCAGAGTTGTCCAGCTCATGACGTGACAAGCTCATTAAGTTGCGTTACTGAATAGGAAGCAAAGCCCAGGGTCACTATCTTGTTCAGAGGTTTTACCCCTTAGCCATAATTCCATCCATGCCCCAATCAGCTAGCAGGGAAGCGTGGCCATGATGGAGCCCAAGAGGGAGTTAAGTCTTTGTGTAGAGAAAGAGAGCTTGTAGCTCTCAGCCCAGTGGCACCGGTGCATTGGAAAGGCATTACAGCTCGAGGACAATTAAGCTCCACTTAGCGGTAGCTTTTTTCCCCCTAAACTCTTTACAGGGTCTTTGTGCCTGACTCCAGGGAGCACTCCCATCTGGCCAGATGAAGAGCAAGGGGATTGTTTCATCAAAAGAGACAGCCTTAGAAAGAGGAAATAGTGAATAAAAGGCTGAATCCTGAGGATTACAAAATGCTTTTGAACTGCCCTGGGAAGATCAGAAGTGAGCAGTGGTGGATGCTTTAATGCCTGCCCATGAGGTGCACCATTTTATTTTTTTTTTAAGAAGGCAGTGGAGGAAGGTTTGGGGTGGAGGTACTCTGCTAAGAGGCTTGTGTTAATAAGATCACAGAATCACAGGTCAGAGATAACAACAACAAACACCAGGTGTGTCTGAAATATCAAAGCAAATAAATATGACATCATGTTCAACTCTGTCCTTGCTGTTATTATCATCCAAAAAAAAAAAAATTATAGCTCCAAATTAAACCTGCCTAAATCCTAGGGCCATCCATCAAGAATATTCTTTCCTCTTCCTTTAATTCATATATGATATGTGTACCAGAGAGTTTCTCAAGACAGGCTTTCCATTAGCAATGAGGAGGGAGAAATAATGTATCCCTGGGTGGGTAGAATTTACCCAGGGAAAACTCTAAGTTGAGTAACCAATCACCTACCTTCTGCCCCTCTGGAGGACAACTAACATTTCTAGCCACTTGAGACCACAAATTCTGATTGTTTTCTGGGCACGTGGTATTTGGAAAACTGACGTTTCCCACGTGGAATTGAACATGAACCTCACTGGCCCACAGCCACCCTGTAAATTGCCTAGGTTAGATCTTTAATGTCAACAGAAGATCTAAATTGATCTCTAATAACCAGGCCAAGATGAGAAAAAAAGGAAAAGGCTTAAGTTGGGGTAGGTTTAGATTTAGGTTCAGTAGGGGGTATAATCTCCCTTGTCCACAGGACTGGGTCACGTGTTTCTGGGTGTCCAGTGTGTATCTGGCTCTGTCATTTCACAGCACTAACTTCATTGACACATATTCCTGACATGAACAAGTCCCTTCCTGAAGCAATTCGGTTAAGACACCTTCCCAAAGTGACTGACCCCCAAGGAAGAGCATAATATCCCAAACAATTGACTCACAAATTTTGGAATATAGCATTAAAAATAAAATGAAAAAGAATTTCTTAATTGAACACATAAACTCAGAAAACATACAGAAGAATTTCAGGTTTTCTGGATGTCGTATTCTTTCTCACCTTATCTATTTCACCGTTTCTTCAAATCCCAAAGTTTAAATTCAACAATTAGCATGAAAATTCACAAAAATACTTAAAAGACTAATATTTGATCCACAATATTCTCGAAGGCTCATAGGCATCTCCATTTTTTTTTTTTTTAGTTTTCCAAAGAGTGTACATAAAAGTACATAATAGTACTTAATATGTAATATGTGTAAAAGGACATGAACTTTTTCCCTTCCTAGGAAGTTGTCCTTTGTTTCTTCTTTTATTCTAGCCTTTAAATGAAGGGATAAGACCCCAGAAGTAGAACATGTATATCTGGCTGAAAGGAGAAAGAATTTCACAATTTTTCTGAAGTATTATACCATGACGGATACAAATATGGATTCCAGAAACAGACAGTCTGGATTCAAAGCTATGCACTTATAAGCAATGTTATTTTGGTTAATTCACTCCATCTCCCATACCTTATTTGTCTCACCTATAAAACAGGGAAAATGATGATAATAGTGGTATCTATCCCATTAGTTTGTTGTGAGAACAAGATGAGTCCTCCCATCCAGAGGACTGAGAACATTTCCTGGAACCTAGTAATTTCCAAGCACTCAGTAAATACTTGAGTTCAAATGTCATCATTGCAAATTTCACTAAACTTTTGATTCCTAAGCTTACTTTTAAAATATAGACTGTGATATAAATAATAGCAATGGTTGGGGTGCCTAGGTGGCTCAGTTGGTTGACAGTGTGACTCTTGATTTCCACTCATGTTAGGATCCCAAGCTCATGGGATCAAGCCCCACATCTGACTCATTGGGCCCTGCACTGGGTGTGGAGCCTGCTTAAAATTTTCTCTCTCTCCCTTTGCCCTTCTCCTCGGATTGTGCGCTCTCTCTCTCTCTCTCTCTCCTAAATATAATTTAGGGGTGCCTGGGTGGCTCAGTCAGTTAAACGTCCAACTCTTGATTTCAGCTCAGGTCATGATCTCACAGTTCTTGAATTTGAGCCCCGAATCAAGCTCTGCACTGACGGTACTAAGGTTTCTTGGAATTCTCTCTCTCTGTCCCTTCCCACTATCTCTCTCTCTCTCTCTTTCAAATAAATAAACTTAAAAAAATAAACAAGTAAAAAATAAAATGAAATTAAAAAAACAATAGCAGTTGTGAATGTTGTGGTATTCATCTAGACATTAAAAAGTTAGTCATTTATTTGATTAGATGGTGGTCCACTATTTAGAAATAAAAACTGACTTTAAAATCAGTCTTGAGAATAAGGCAGAAGGTTGATTCTATAGACCTATATCTATTTTGTCAGGAAAGTGGAAAATTAAGATGATGCAAGTAATTCATATGGGAAAGGGCAGGGTGGGAGCACAATCTTTTCATTTCAATTTTCTAGCCAGGCCAAATTGTCTGAATACTTAAAGCCCAAAGTCACTTGCTCTATGTAGATATGGATTTTGAAAATGGCTAATTATCTAAAAACTGTATCCAGTGGTGCTGGTAAAATTCACTTAATCAACATTAGAAAGGCCAGGCTGTGTAATTTACATAAATGTATCAAGACAGTTTCTGGACAGACTTCATGGCAGCCTTGATCATGCCAAATAAAACACAGTACAATCAGCACATTTTCTAATCACCCTGCCAGAGCTGGAAAGAGTCTTGTAGACTGATTAATTTAACTAAAGTCTTCAACAGCTTAAAGAAGTCTGATTCGGATGTAATAAAAATTTATTGGCATTACTGATTTCACAAACGTCAGCTGCTTTAGCATGTCCCACACTTCAAAACCTGCTTTGAAGACCAAATTACTTTCTACCTGTAAATATATTTTAAGAAATCATAGTTAATAATCAGGGGCTGCTGTTTTCATGGTCTTTCTAAAGCCAACATCTATGGCTTTCATCTTACCTTATTGTGTAATTCATGGTCTTCTTTTAAAAGATTGAGATCACAGTCCATAGGGCAGGGACCAGTTTTATTAGAAATGCTTCCTAGGATTAAAAACAAAAGGTGGAAAAATGTATTACAGATTTCCACTTCAGAGGATATGTAAGCTTATACCACTGTAATCTAAGAATTTATGTAAAGCCCGACAAATGAGAAAAAAATAACAAACTGTAGAGGCTCTAAGATGTTCTATCCTCCGAATTTTAATTCAGTCAATGTATGAACTTCAAGTAGAACTCTAACAGTGGCCACCCCAGGGGGATGCAATTTACAAGCAGCAGCTGTGTCTGATCTGCTTTCCAACCCATATCCGGGTAGGATTCTCCATTATCAGCTACTTTTTCTGGGAACGAGTTTTCAAAGAAACTCCTCTGCACCTCATACCAATGTTCCAATATAAAACCTTGAGACTAGAAAGTCCTATTCTCTGTCTGTACCCAAGGATTTGCTGCCCGAGCTACATTTTTCGTATCATGCATGACTTATTTTATACTGGATTTCTCAACCTCAACACTATTGACATTTTTGGACTGGATAATTCTTTGTGATGGGAGCTGCCCCGTGTTTTGTAAACTGTGTAGCAGCATTTCTGGCCTCTACCTACTAGATGCCAGCAGTACCCTCCACCCCTCCCCAACTTGGGGCAACCAAAAATGTCTCCAGGCACTGACGATATCTCCAGGGCCACATCACTAGTTGAGAACTACTTACAGCTCCAGACCAATAACTCTTTGCAAACAAAACAACAACAACTCTCTGTAGACAATGTGCCTTGTTCATCTTGTTTCTTCTGTAGTGTCTAACACAGGGCCTGAAATAGAGTGCTTTGGATACTGTTTCTTAAATTACCAATCGATCCCATAATGTTGACCCAACATCTTTTATTTAAAAAGTATACACATATCATCTACCATAAGCAGCCAAAGTTTTGCTGCTTGTCCTCTTCTTCCCCTCCAGGGATTAAATATTCTCATCCCCTAGCCCTTTGGCATTGTCATGGTGGACATTTTTTAAAGGAGATTTCCATACTGTCAAAATTTTAGGATGTCATCTCCATGCCTGGGTGCTTTAGAAAACTTACTTCTCCCTAAAGATGACCCAGCCAGCCTCTTCTTCCCAATCAAAGTCGTTGAGGCTCATGTATTTTGAGCAGCAAGGTTTTATTGTATTTTCTGACTCTGCTCCCAGTACACTATGCTAAACTAAAGGCATATACCAGAAAATGTCCTTCTCCAGGGAGAGTTAAACAGTTAAGTGCCCCTCGTGTCAGAAGCCTGGCACATTAGTCTATTGGGATGAGAGTCATGTAAACCTTTAAAACAGCTTCCTTTCTTTGAGGCTAAAACAGAATTCATTGATAGTGTGGTTGATATGGTCAAAATCAAGATAAGAGAGAAGGGAAGGAAGTGGAATTACAGTTTAAATATATTATTATTTTATTTATTAATTATTTTTTATTTGAAGGGGGAGGGAGAGAGAGAGAGACAGAGAGAGAGAGAGAGAGAGAGAGAATCTTAAGCAGGCTCCACACTCAGTGTGGAGCCCAACACAGGGCTGAGTCCCACAACCCTGAGATCATGATCTGAGCTGAAATGGAGGATCAGACCCTCAAATGACTGAGCCACCCACATGTCCCAAATATATCATTATTTTAAAAGGCTTATAATTAAAATCCCCAGTGCATAATTGGTGGGTGAAATAAAAAATATGAAAAAACAGAATTAATTTTTAGTGTTTTTGAAGAGCTTCATAAAAAATTATGTTGTTTACTACACACACACACACACACACACACACACACACACACCAAACTGTTACCGACTTGGAAAATTGAGACTCAGATCAAAGAACTTGGACAAATCAGAAAGCTAACTAGTAAAAATTCTGAAATTTAAGTCCAGTTCTATTTGTCCTCAAAGCTGACACATTTAACTCTTCTTTCACATCTTGTGTGAGAACCGTACTCCATTTTCTACCAATACACATTTGTAAACATTGAATATATTCATTTTTTATTGCTGCTAGAATACATTCCCACCAATTTAGTGACTTAATATTCATCTATTAGCTTATGTATTTTGCAGGTCAGAAATCTGGGCATAGCATGGCCCAACTGGATCCACTTCTTCAAGTCTTACCAGGTCAAAATCAATGTATCGGTCAGGGATGCCATTGTCATCTGGGTCCTGGGATCCTGGTGTAGCCTTGCTCATTGCTGGCAGAAGTCATTTCCTTCTCATGCTTTCCTCACAGTCCCGTTTGAACCAACAACCACGGGATGCATCCTGACTGTTTGAATGTCTCCAGTTTCTCCTTTTGCTTCCTCTTCTGTTGACCAGCCTGAGAAAGCTCTATCTTTTAAGGGCTCATGTAATTCCATAAGGTCCACGCAGGTCATCTCCCTCCTGATGATCAGCTTCTGGGGATGAGTCTTTGGACATCTTTGGGAAACCATCTTAAAAATTCTGCCTACCAGGAACAATTTCTGACTTAATGGAATTTTTATTGCTGTATGTTAAAATGTAGTAATACTGTGCATGTCCAGGTAATAAAGTCCCTACCAAAGAGATCATCTTCTAAAGGTCTTAATTAAGCATTTTCTTTGTTCTTATGTAAAATGTTCTTTGCTTTAAAACCTACCTTCCTATTTATAAAAGTGTGTATAGTAAATTCATATACATTACTTCATGTAATTATATACCTTATGTAACAAATATACATTTCATAAATATGTACTTAATATAATTTTTATCAGATTAGGATCATACTGTATTTGCCATTCCCATCCTTTTTTATACTTACATTCTTTCTTTTTATTAAATATTCCTCAAAGTCTGATTTTTAATCACTCCTCAGTAGTATATCATTTGTTCTTACTTAATCAGCCCTTGGTTGTATATTTACATCATATTGAACAAATTTCACAAAAAATCTTAACACTTATCTGTGCTTCTTTTCACAGATGAGTATCTAAGATCAGAATACTAAATCAAACACAGCATACACAGTAAGAACTATCAATATTCAAACTGCAGCCAGCAGTGTATAAGAGTCTCCAATTTACCCACATGCTTGTCAAAACTGACTCGCACCATATTTTTCAGTTTTGCCTACTTGGTTGACAAAATTATAACATTGCATTGTTATTTTTATTTTCAATCTCGTAATTTTTTTAAAAAGTGACCATTTGTATGTTTGCTGAGCATGTATGCTTTTTATGTTGTAAGTTTGCCATTTCCCCATTTTTTTTCAGTTGGAATATTTAACATTTTCTTTAGGATTTTTAACTTTCCATATCCTCTTCATCTTTGCCCAGCACACTGTTTCAAATATTTTTTCTGCTCACAGTTTGTCTTCTAATTTCTTTGACAGGTGTGTGTGTGTGTGTGTGTGTGTGTGTGTGTGTGTGTGTGTGTAAGATGTGGTTTTCAATCTTACATAACCGTGAGTATCAATGTTTTTGCTCTATTGTTTCTCTTTTTGCAAATAAGCTTACATGTTTTTCCACACTATATAGTCAAAGGAAGTGCAGAGAAACAAACCATAAGTAAATAAGGACCTCACAGGCCTCTGGCACAATTGTCTTTCCCCACTGCCATTCAGGTAAGGAACCATGAGACCAGCGAGTCTTCCTAACTCCCCAGAGTTAGACATGCAAACAAACCAAACGTCATTTCTCCCAAAGGACTCCTTCCCCTTATTTCCTATTTCTTTTCACCACTTCGCTAAGCCACCCAGGCTCAAAACCTCCTCCATGAGTTTTCCTTCCCTACTGTGACTCACAGCTAATCATTTGCCACTTTCTCTTCTACCTTGTTAAGAAGACTTTAGAGCCATTCCTTTCCTCTTTTCAACCATAAACCCAACTTCAACCTTCATCACTTTCCCAAATGCAAATGTGTAAGCAATTGATAGACAGACAGATATACAGATAAGTGACCTTTAACCGAAACAGAATTATGCCATATACTGTTTTTTCTCTCCTCATATAGTAAGAAATCATGGTCATCTCTGTGAGTCATAAAATACACATCTCACTATATTTACTTAAAATGAATGTTTCCCCTTGACCCTCCTTCCTATCTTCTAACCACGTTTCCCTAACATCTTTCCATTCCACCTGCACCACATAACACGTTTTACCCTCTCATGTTCATTTAACCAGATATATACGTGCACACACATCTGTGAACACAGGGACAACACATTGATAGAGATAATTTTCACTGTCACACAAAAAGGAGATTATACATTGTATATACTTGCCTATAGCCTTTCTTAAGAGAATCTGATGAAATTCCCTTCAAGTCAATTATTGCAGTTCTAATTTATTATCGAAGAGTTGGACGCCCAACCGACTGAGCTGTCCAGGTGCCTTTATATTTATATTCTCATCAAAAAGAATGCTACAATAAAATCCATTACTAGGCTATTATTGCTGTGGATGGGTTTCCAGGAAGATTGCTGGGTCAAGTTCTCATATTTTAAATGCTAACAGATGTTGTCGGATTACTTTCTAAAAGCTTGCATATGTATTTATATATGTAAATCTATAAACATATATATTTCCATAAGAAATTTCTAAGAAAATCTATTTTTCCAAATCCTTGCCACCAGTGGATCACCTATTATTAGTTTATAATATTATTTGATTATGATCAGAGACAGTGGCCTCTATTATTGTATTTCATATATGTCTGTCATATATATAAAACCTAACGAGGTTAGGTTACATTTTATATTCAGCTGTTATGTTATTTGACACATATAAATTGTGTCATATTATATCCTCTTCATAAATTATACGTTTTATCATTATAAAACGTTCTTTTACTGTTTAGACCTGTTTAAACCTCAAATGTCAGCTTTCCTAATGTGGACATTGCTTCCTGGGACAGGTTTGTTTTGATTTTCTGGTATCAGTTCATCCATAGGTATTCAACATTTCTTTATCACTACGTTCTGCATGTTTATTCTAAGTGCTGTGCAGTTGGGGCTTTCTTTCTAACTCAGTTTGACAGGATCTTTTACTGGGGGGAATTAT